TCTATCGTGGAGCGTTAACCACTATTTCAGTAGTGAAAGATTCCAGCAAGTTGACCTCCAACTTTTTAATAATCTTGACCATAACCAGAGAGTCTAGTGCTTTCGCCTACGTGACAAAGAGTACCCAGTTTACCAAACAAAAAAAGGTACAGAAACAATATAAAGTTTTAGGAGATAACTGACTTACTACTTGTGATAGTTTTTCTTCCCTCCTGCCCGGATCGAGAAAGTTCGGATATGAATCCCATATTTGTTTGACCTCCTTCGTAAGGTCAAATATGCTGAGAAAAAAGTGATTGTCCAGCAGAATGGGAACAAAAATCTACAAAATATATGTAATAATTAACAACTCGGAGCAAAAATAAACCAATTACAACATCCAGCTAAGACCACATAACAAGATTGATACCTTCTCACAGTCGTTGAAATCTTCTGAACAGTACACGCGTCTAATCTTCTCCTCAGAATATCCACGCACAGACATCTAAAAGACATTCTCACAGATGTAATAATTGCTTACAAGATTATCATGCAAATACACCACAGAAGGCATCAAAAATATTTATACTTACAGAAAAGGCTGGTGGTAAGAACCATCGCACACGTTTTTCCTTACGAAACTCTTGTAGAGTTAAGAAGTCCACACACATGGTAATAACCTGTCCAAGTATCCCAAATATAATCACAATCACATAAAACACACAAGCTTTTTGCATATTATTCTATCTAGTTTTGTAAATCCAAAAGAAGTTTTACACTAACCTGAGAAGACAACATTAAATCTGGTGCTAATCCCTTAAATTGTGCCCGATTCAGATTAAACCATGGAGATCTTACAAGCTCCTCACTGGAAATTAAAAACAATCAATAACCAATTTGCAATTACAAAGAATTTGAATAATAGGCACTTCCATTAACAAATACTAACATAAGTAATTGGAAAAGATAGATTTAATACCACTCATCTTTTGACTGGTCAAACACATGGGTTATCAAAATCATATCCATTGGGCATGCGCGAGAGGAGGTTGTAAAGGGTCCAATGGAATACATTTTTTTATTTCTCATTTCATTGTATATCCTTGTCAAAATGTGACTTCTCACTTTGACAGGCGGCTTCACGCCACCCTTTCCCTATTGAAAACAAAAACAATTAAATAACTAATAGAAACATAATCAAGTCAAAATATGACAGTACAACAAACCTTTTCCCTTGCACTTGCAGCTTTGTCTGACATCTTGGGTGCAGTGGTTCTTGACAAGGAGCATGAGCTATCCGTGCTGATGTTAATAACCTCCACTCCCTTGTATTTGTTGTGCTTCATACCACTTTCGCAGGGATCACCATATCTGATGGTAGCAAACTTCTCCATCAACCAGTCAGTTAAAGAATCTAGCGATCTCCTCAACTCGCTTATGTTTTGCTCCATATCATTCTTCAACGCTAACTGATTCACTTTCAACTCTTCCATAAGAGCATATAGTTTTGACATCTACATATGAAACATCAAAGAGTTGCTTAACAATCTTTTTGGATAGAATTTGTTTATTTTTTGGTCAGTGGGTGAGTGCAATTTTTTATACATAAAAAATAGAGTACATGGAAAGAAAGATAGAAAACACAATGAGAAAACAAATGATGACAGCTTAAAACAAAAGAAGATAAGCCAAAAATTTGTGCAAAATTGTGATATGTGAATTCAATCATTGTTATTTGGGTTGCAGCCTTTGGAAATTGTACAGAGAGTTGCAGCTCATAAGCAGAAGGGAAGTTATAAGGCTATAGACAAAATTATATGATTCCTCATCTACAGTTATGCCTTTGCATCTAAGTTATAAGCTGGATTTTGATTGTAATAGTATCTTATTGTATTTTTCAGTCCTAAATTTTTTAATTACTAAAATTGATTTTAGTTGTACCAAACAACACATTAAATACACTTCTATATATCCAAGCTCAGGAATTGCAAGCAGTAGCAGCAGAAGGATCATAAAGACAGCAGGACAGGATCATAGATGGTCGAGCAATGAAATTCAAAACGAGTGAAAATTGAGTAAGGAAATAAATAGCACAACTACCCATTTGAGGTAATAAGATTACATTTGTTTAGTTTTGATGTTGCCGCATAACCAACTTGAAGGAGACCTTGATCTGCAGTAGCAGATTTAGACTAGCTGATAGGTTTGATAAAGTAGGCTATCTGGGATTTCAGTTCTGAGTCCCAGATTATTGTTTTATCCAGCAAATTTTGACTAACAAATACATATGCTATCATCCTTTTTGAACAAAGCTGGGGCCAAATAACTTCAAAATCACGAAAATATGGTGAAATATCAGCTGAAAAAGGAATGTCAAGTTAGGGAAGATGATTCTTTTATGGAAGACGGTTCAGCGAAGGTATACTCTGAGGGACTCCTAAATTATACAGGGAGTGGTATTCAAGTTCAACAGACGCCACTTCTACCAGCTAAGCAATTATTTGACAAAGACACTACAATTGTCACTACAAACAACCAAAAATACAAAAAGGTATTTTGAAAATAGTAAGTGATTACCTGGTTAATCTCATTTGAGCCATTTGATTCTGGCGTTCTCTTGTCCAAGCTGGAACAAAAACACAACAATTTAGGCAGAGCCATAAGAGAAGTTCATTAAGCAAATAACCAGATCAGATAAACACAGAACGAACCCTTCCATTGCACCAAATGATGTTTCTGTTGGTTTGAAAAGCCTACGACATATACAAATACAAACCAAAATATATATATAGGAACCTATAACTAGTTGAGATAAGGAGCAGTTCTAGTTCTGTTGGGGTTCCTTAGTTTTCTAATTCAAAAATTATTCACATGACTTATCCACGGCAACTGAACACAAAAATTATAAATAAGTAGAAGATTTGGGAGGGCATTTAAGATAACTACACTAAGTTTGAAACCATCAACTACAAATTATGTTGTTCACCCAATCTTAACAATCTAATGCGTTCGGCAATTATCCAACAAATACCCAAATCACAAGGATACCGAAGACTTATCTCATAGAAGCTGAAAGGGGATTCTAGGTAACGTATCCCTTGATTGCCACTGACCACAATGGGTATTTCGAGTGAGTCGCCGATCTTCGTGCTCAAGGCTGAACAACGGCAACGGATCGATTGCCACGGTAGGGACGTTGTTGGGAATGACAGGGTAGCCAGACGATTTTGATGACGGACGGAAGGTGGTTCAGGAATTGTGTAGCCATGGATGGGGAAATTGAATCGGCGGTGGTTAAAACAAGAGGGGAGGAGCCTTGACGACTATGGCGATTTCGAGGGTGTCGGGATTTGGGTAGTGATGGCCGACCAGCGATAATGGTGGTTTATTGGCACAACAGAGACGTGACCTGGCAGCGGCAACTGGGTTGACGACGGTGTTGACATTGATTGTCAGGGATTTGGGATGTGGGTGGTTATGGTCGATCGGCCGCAATGGCGATGGTGATTGTGGATTCACGCGGCAGAAATGATGCTGTTGATGAGCAGAAGGCGACTACAGGGATGATGATGCAGCTGATTTTGCCAGACGAAGTTGGGATTTTGCTGGTGAGGTCGATCGACGAAAACAACGTGGTGGTGGAGTGCCGCGACGGAAGGGTTTCCTTGATTTACAATGGAAAGACATGGAAGGGAACGACTGTCCTGCCTTTTGCCTTCTGTTTCTTTTTGTTTTTTTTAATGTTTTATTAATTGAATTACTAAACCGGAGTCGACCAATAAATCACCAACTCAACCGGCTACAATAAAGTGGCGGTACTAGTGCAGTGACTGCACCATAGAATTCCCCGTGTTATGGATCCAAAAGACGATGAACTATAGGATACTATATATAAATATAGTAATGTTTGGAGAATTACCGTTCCAAAACCTCTAGATTGTAAACAATTAAGATATTTTGCCCTTTCGAATGGTTGGGGAAAAAATTTACTACAGTTCTAAAAAACACACCTAGACACTCGTCTAAGTTCGTCTAGTCGCAAGTTAGAAAGAAAATACTTTGCTTTGGCAAACAGCAGTGGAGAAGACACATTGAACACGTTGTGGTCTCAGTGACGCCTAGTTAGCATTGAGTTACGTCTCAAAATGATGTCACGATGTCTTTTTCTACCTTTTGCTATGCTACTAGAAATAACGGTTTTGATTTATTTACCGTTAAACTAGAATATAGTTAGAGACGATTATATTTAGAGTAGCTTCTTTCTTTTTTGGTGATATTAGATTTCTACATGTTATAAAATATATAATAAAAAAATGTTAAGAACATTCAAGCACAGTCTTACTCCATGTTTGTTCAATTACTCTTTTACCCGCATATGCAATATAGACATTGAGTTCCGCATATGAATTGTGTAATTAATCGTTGTTCAAGGTTCGAACACAACTTCTCTCTTTCAGAAAATACGAACCGACTAAAACCCACCATTATCGGGTTTGGGCCCAAATCCAACTAACAAAAGAGATCAAGTGAGAATAATGTCGCGTAAATTAAAGGGTAATGATTATTTATTAGCCAAATCTTTTTCCGATTCTTTTTAATTAGCAAAACCTATCAAAATGCTATTAATTAGCCATAACGTTAACTCTCCGTTAACTTTTCTATTTAACGATGGTGAGCTGTCATATGTGGGACTGAGTTGGAAGGAATATTCTGACGTGCCACTGAGTGAAAACCTCAATTTCTCCAATAATTTAACTATATTTTATCATATACGATTTTTTTAGTCTTTTAATGAAAATAACGAATATTTCTAATGTTTTCATACAAATTACATACCGAATGGGTCGATCTATCCCGACCAGTGCCCCATGATAAATTACCCGACATGGACCCAACCTGCCACGAGACAAGTATGGATATTGACATACCTGCCTCAGACCTATTCATTGTCATTCCTAGCACAAATGTCAACTTAAGAAGACGAAAGGTTAGTCTTGTAAAATAAAAAATAAAAAAGGAAGACGAAGGTTAGTATCACAATCTAATATTTCAATGTTAGGATCAGTACTTATTCCACATTCCAATTCCACGTTCTAATTGAAAATACTTCGGACATTGATACTCTTTACTCATGTAATGTAGCATAAGAGAAAATTCAAACCAAACAGTGTGCACGAACCCTCAAAATTTCTAGCTTTAACTGTCCTCTTGGTAATCCGGGTTCTCCTTCAGGATCACAAATCCTTCCAAAATTGGCGACAGTGGAATGTACCTGAAGAACAAAAACACCACCACCAAAAGTATATCAAGAAAACGCTGGGAAAATTAGTTGTCCTCCTGAGAGAGCATGAGCCGGTTCTCTACAAATCAATGCAGAAAAGCAAAGAAGAACATCTTACTTCTCCATCGCTAGCTCAGCTCTGTCGCCAGCAGCCAATAGAACCGGCGTTGAATGGGTCTGGAAACCTGTTATGGTTTTGGGTCGACCAGCTTGGCCAACCACATCTACAGCCTGTCCGACCCGTACAGGAACGGATAGAGGCTTCAAATTCTCATCCACCGTCATCAACATTCTTGGCTGCAACAGAAGCAAACCCACCAACACAATAATTAAAGCACCAAATTATAGTCATTTATTGGTTTTACATGACATGAAACAGAGGTACCGTACCTGCATTGCTAAGACGAGGAAGTAGAGGACGATGTGATATCTCCCCAGTACCATGGCCTTCATTTCAAGACAAGCATGCAAAAAGGTAACTAAACCTGCAAGCGCCACACTGCACACAAAGAAGGGAAATATTCCTCAAACAGAATCAGGTAAAGAGCGGTAAACACCTTCCCATCCTGATGATTAATGAGAATCAGAGCAAAAAAAAAAAATATTGTAGCTCTCCAGCAGGTCACTAATTACGGTGATAGCAAGAACCTATCATAGTGATACGGATTAAGAGTCAACAAACCCTTGCCTAAGTGCACAAGGCCTTGAGCAATTCTTACCTACAGAAGCCAGATAACAAGCACTCAGAACTCAGACATTATGTACAAGAGCCCTTCTAGTGTGCTCTATAGCACCCATGCTATAAAAAAGGTGACCTGTTGAGGAGGTAAACCCACTAAATGACTGGTCCCACATCATTAATGGCAATCTTGTAAATAATGAATCAATGTATACAAGTGTAGGTACAAATTAGAGTTGTACCATATCGTATAGGGACAAGTTTCAGCTGTACCATTGAAGAATTTGTTTCACAAAGTGTAGGTACAACTTAAAGTTGTACCATTAGTATAGGTACAATTTTGAGTTGTACCATGAAGGGATTTATTAGAAAGTGTAGGTACAACTTAAAGTTGTACCATTAGTATAGGTACAATTTTGAGTTGTACCATGAAGGGATTTATTAGAAAGTGTAGGTACAACTTAAAATTGTACCATTAGTATAGGTACAATTTTTAGTTGTACCATAAGGGATTTGTTAGAAAGTGTAGGTACAACTTAAAGTTGTACCATGGTATAGGTACAATTTTGGGTTGTACGATAGAAGGATTTTTAGAAAGTGTAGGTACAACTTAAAGTTGTACCATGGTATAGGTACAAGTTTGGGTTGTACCATAGAAGAATTTTGAAAAAGTGTAGGTACAACTTAAGGTTGTACCATTAGTATAGGTACAATTTTTAGTTGTACCATAAAGGGATTTGTTAGAAAGTGTAGGTACAACTTAAGGTTGTACCATTCGTATAGGTACAATTTTTAGTTGTACCTTAAAGGGATTTGTTAGAAAGTGTAGGTACAACATAAAGTTGTACCATGGTATAGGTACAAGTTTGGGTTGTACCATAGAAGGATTTTGAAAAAGTGTAGGTACAACTAAAAGTTGTACCATTAGTATAGGTACAATTTTGAGTTGTACCATAAAGAAATTTATTAGAAAGTGTAGGTACAACTTAAAGTTGTACCATTAGTATAGCTACAATTTTGAGTTGTACCATAGAGGGATTTGTTAGAAAGTGTAGGTACAACTTAAAGTTGTACCATGGTATAGGTACAAGTTTGGGTTGTACCATAAAAGAATTTTGAGAAAGTGTAGGTACAACTTAAGGTTGTACTATTAGTATAGGTACAATTTTTAGTTGTACCATAAAGAGATTTGTTAGAAAGTGTAGGTACAACTTAAAGTTGTACCATGGTATAGGTACAAGTTTGGGTTTTACCATAGAAGGATTTTTAGAAAGTGTAGGTACAACTTAAAGTTGTACCATGGTATAGGTACAAGTTTGGGTTGTACCATAGAAGGATTTTGAGAAAGTGTAGGTACAACTAAAAGTTGTACCATTAGTATAGGTACAATTTTGAGTTGTACCATAGAGGGATTTGTTAGAAAGTGTAGGTACAACATTAAGTTGTACCATAGTGTATAGGTACAATTTTGAATTGTACCATAGAAGATTTTTAGGAAAGTGTAGGTACAACTTTAAGTTTAGTGTAAAGGTACAACTCTAGAAAGTGTAGGTACATCTTAATTCCACGGCTGTTATTTTGACAAAATGAGCTGTGAGAACATTTGAGTGGCAGCTGTGTGTTTCAATTGAATGTGAGATTTTGACGGGCGTGACAATGTCAAGTAGTAGCCGTGAAATTTCCTGGGATAGTGAGAACTGCTCTTTGCATCTCACGGGACATCTCACGGTCGTGATATTTGCCTGAGGAATGAAGCACTGCTTTTTACATCTCACTTGAGTATTTTACGGTAGTGAGATTACCAGTATAAGGTGTCAGATTTCTAGTAGGAGACTTTCACCTGTGGAACTATCTCGTGTACTTATTATAATGTTGTTTCAAACAAAATGGACTTTTTTCCAGAACTCCAAACTTATGAAAAAGATGATTCATAATGTTCTCTAAAGCTTGACACGAGCATTACATAGATCCATTCACAATGTTCTCTAGTAACTGTACATCATATCAGATGAGATACCCTGTTAACAAAAAGTAAAAAGCAGTCAAAGCATTACATTTGTCTTATAAAACAAGCATCCATAACACGATTAAATTTGTCTAATTAATGCTTAAGTTTAGATGCATGTAGCCCACACTGGTGCATCATCATATTCTAATTGGAAAATATACAAGCACAAACGCAAACACACATAGCTAAGTACTAAGGACTTTGGTTGGCTCATCTTCACTGCCCATCTTTCTCGTTAGTGTTCTCGTCCTCGTCTTTGTTTTCCTGGATTTGCTCATCTTCATTGTCCTCGCTAGAGTCACTGCCCTCTTCCTCATTGGTCTCTTTGTCCTCTTGATTTTTTTCCTTGTTTTGTTCAACGTCGTTGCCCTCGTCGTCCTCTTCACTGCCGTCTTCCTCATTGGTCCCTTTGACCTCTTGATTTTTTTCCTTGTTTTGGTCATCGCCATTGCCCTCGTCGTCCTCTTCACTGCTGTCTTCCTCATCGGTCCCTTTGACCTCTTGATTTTTTTCCTTGTTTTGGTCATCGCCATTGCCCTCGTCGTCCTCTTCACTGCTGTCTTCCTCATCGGTCCCTTTGTCCTCTTGATTTTTTTCCTTGTTTTGGTCATCGCCATTGCCCTCGTCGTCCTCTTCACTGCCCTCTTCCTCATTGGTGTCATTGTCCTCTTCACTGCTTTCCTTGTTTTGTTCCTCTCCTTTGTCCTCTTGATTTTTTTCCTTGTTTTGGTCATCGCCATTGCCCTCGTCGTCCTCTTCACTGCTGTCTTCCTCATCGGTCCCTTTGTCCTCTTGATTTTTTCCTTGTTTTGGTCATCGCCATTGCCCTCGTCGTCCTCTTCACTGCCCTCTTCCTCATTGGTGTCATTGTCCTCTTCACTGCTTTCCTTGTTTTGTTCCTCTCCTTTGTCCTCTTGATTTTTTTCCTTGTTTTGCTCATCGTCATTACCCTCGTCATCCTCTTCACTTCCCTCTTCTTTGCTTTCCTCGGTTGGCCTAGGAGATAGTTCCCAAGGTCTTGAGAATTGTTTGTAGTCAATCCTCAAGGACCTCATGATCTGATGGTTGCATTCGATGATGTAGCGTCGAGCTTCCTTCTCTCGATCGAGGCGGGAGAGAATGAGTGCATTTTGCTCCAGAATTTGGGCATTCTGCCGACCCAATGCCTCAAAATGGGATATGTAGCTGTCGGTGGATGGTCCGGCTTGAGTCGTAGTTTGGTGATGTTGTGCAGGTTGTTCCGGAGTCTCCTCGACCATTTGCTGAACAACATGCTCCGATGCGTTTGCCTCATCTGTTGCAAGAGGTGGAGCAGGATGAGGGAGGCCAACAATGCCTACCACACCATTCTCCTTAACCACCAAACACAGACATGATCAATATCAGAAGCATTAGTTACATTTGCTCAATGTTCAAAAGGAACTAGATTAGTAGGCAATCCAAAACTTGCACAAAATCAATCCTAGATTGTTTGAATCCCGACTAGTTATGTTTTAGCATTCACTGTGAAAAGGAAAGTGTTGGTTGGAACATTTACCTTTGACAACAAATTTAGATCCGCAAGGTTTTTTTGGGAGATTGGTTGATTGGACTGGGCAATGGTGCAATGAGAACCCACCGGATCAATGCCAAAATGCCGAGCTAGCCTTGTGATGTAGGCACCTCCATGGATGGTCATGATTTGTTTGTTGGAGGTCATCTTCTGTAGGGTTTTCAATATGACTAAACCAAGATGAATTGGGGGATCTTTTACCATAGAGAGGAAAAAGTTCAAATCCCGCTTGGTCACACTCCCCGGGCTCCCCTCCCTAGCTGCCACAGAATGAGCGATAATGTTGTGGATGATACGCCACGGGGGAAGAAGATCATTCCCTTTATAGTGGGCAGGGTCAGACTTTGCCACATGGTTTTGTTTTACCGTTGTCCACATAGCATTGACCGATGGTGCTCTTGAATGATATATGTGCTCTGAAATAAAACCATGTCCATCTGTGGTGAGAAATCCTGGTGGGTATATCTGGAGTGCCTCTGTGAATCAGTGATGCTCATATTTCTCGCCTGTCCTCCAAGGCGAAAAGTTATATTGTCTTCGGGCTTGTCGAGGTTAAACTCAGACATTCTCTTGATGGAGAGAGTATTGAGGAACTCAATGGTAAGCTCTCGGTAGATGACCTCATTGATAGAGAGAACCTCACACCATGCCGGGAGACGGAGGCATGTGCAAACGGGGTCCGCTGCTCCGAGGCGCTCTAGGAGATCCCAATCAAAGCATCTTTGCTGCCCAAATGGGAGGGGAAGGAAGCGCTCCAAAGCCCTCCTATGTTCGACGGGTAATTGGAGGAAGCCGTGAAGTCTCCCTCCTCCAAGTTGAGCCTCCGCTTGTGGTGGTGGTGGAGATGGTTGGCGTGCCCGTCCTTGGTTGTTTTTGCGTTGTCGTTTGGGGGGAGTGTCTCGGGTTTGGCGGCGACGACAAGAAGGAGCCTTCCTTTTAGCAGGTGAGGCTGATGGTTGCCGGGTTTTTTGTTTAGCTTTCCCCATTCCTACAAAAACCAACTAAGCACATTTAGTCTTTAGTGAATGAGAGGGAAAAGAATTATGCATAAGCATATGCAATTCACAAATCAAGGAATCTAGTATGCTTTCCAGTTTTCAACAAAGATACTGGAAGATATAGACTTACAGACTTCTCCCTTGACGTCTCTTTGAGTATTCCATCCTCGTCGATCTCCAAGGTATCCTCTACTATTGTAACTCCCCTTAGAGTTGGGGTGATACCGGACAGAACAAATTTTCCAAGCTAGATGCAATTCTTGGTCAGGGGTCTTTCACCCATTGCATCCCTCCCACTCAAAACTTCTCTCTATGTATTTCGATCTCTCTGTATTTCAATCTCTCTCTGTATTTCGATCTCCATCTCTTTGCTTCCTTCCTTGTCCAAGGATAGTATCCAGCTTGGAAAATTTGTTCTCCTTGCTTCCTTCCTTAGAGATCGACGAGGTGGTATACTCAATGTGACGTCAAGGGTGAAGATCCCAGGAGCATTCTAATCACGTCTACACCATCAATTGCTAGATCAAGAAGCATAAATATTGTAGCTAACCTAAATTCATGCTTTTATGACATTACAGCCCGCAACTACCATTAGCCATATAAAGTGCCCATCAATTGAAGTTCATTTTAAATCAGGTTTGTAATAACAATAGCAGTGATGAACAAGAGCATCTGCCTCCATATAGATGTCCATCATTCATATCCAAAAACACGGCTCGTCTCACGGCCGTGATACCGTCGAAGGCAATCCGTGAAAATCTCTGGGAAACTGAGAAGTGCATTTTTACATCCACGGTCTCTCTCACGGCCTATCTCACAGCCGTGATATTTCCAGAATTACAAATCCAAAAACACGCCTGCTTTCACGGCCGTGGGATTTCCTGAATTGGCCGTGAGATTTCCAGAAATAGTCTGCACAGACATTTACCTGTAGAACTAACCCTTGTACTTATTATAATGGTGTAAGTAACATAATATACTGTTTTTGAAAACTACAAGCTTATGAAAAGATGAGTCATAATGTTCTTTGAAGCTAGACACGAGCATTACATAGATCCATTCAATGTCACTAGATACTAACTTGCACAAAACAAACATTACAAGATGAAACATAATGTAGTTTGAAGTCGAACACCAGCATTACAGGTTGTGCTTGGATCGTTTGGGAAGTAGAACAGATTCTTGAGTCTCCACATGAAAGCTGCTTTCACCTGCTCTTATGGACTCGAAGTTGTATTCTTGTTGCGTGAACTGACTATCACCTGCACCTGCTTCAGCCATTCTTTTCAGCGGACAATTTCTGATTGTATGTTTAGGACGCCTACAATACTTGCACAACCGTGTTTTCACTTGAGGTTGCTTCACATTCCCTTTACTTCGAACTGGATGGGGGTCCTTAATAAACTGAGAGGAGTTCACTCCAACATCCGTAGTAGCATTATTTTTTTTGTTGGTAGTTTCTTCACTTATTGTCTTCACTCGCAATGTCAAGTCTTCAATCAACCCTTTGGCAGTATGAAATGCTTCATCCGAACTCACAGCATAATGGTACATTCTACTACATTGACCAACCAAGAATCCAAACCTGTCCAAATAAACACGCACTTTTGTAGTTGGTTCCAAGCACAATAGAAGTAAACAAAGAACTAAATGAACACCTTAAATTTAAAATACCTGCTAATATTTTGCTGGGTAGGAAAGCTTCCCATACTCGAGGGATCGAACTCTTTTGCATCTTTAGTCCAACGCTTCAAAATGAGTAACTTTGGAATTTGTATTTGATTTTCTGCTTTCAATATACAGAATATATGCCGACATGGAATTCCGAAGAACTCAAAGATGCCACAAGAACAATGCACATCATGTCCACTCGTGTAAAAGACCACGGTGCACTTTGAGTCAGGGTATTTGAATCGTGACAATGTGTAAATTGTTTTATTGGTCAACACACACTTGTCTGTAATATAGTAATGAACTTCTCTCGCTATTTCTGCTCGAACGCTCCTGAACACATTTCTTGTATATACTATAGAGGCATGTCTTTCAATTTCATGTAAATGTGTCATCAAAACAACATCAGTGTGTATTGTCTTAAACTGGTCATGTAACTCAGTTTGTCTCCTATACAAAAGTGCCATGTCAAACTGCTTGACAAACTCAAACAACTTCATCTTACTTTGCAAGAATTTGTCTAGATAAGAGTTCATGCTTTCACAACGTTGTGACGTAGTCATCCCAGCAAAGAAAATACCTATCAAGTAAGTTGTGGCCCATAGAGCTCGTCGCCTATACATCTTCTTCATCCACGCATTGTGCTCCAGGTCATACTTGGACAAAATTTCCTTCCATGTAGCTTCAAATTGTGGAATAGAACTGCAGTTTAGCATGCATCGTTTGAAATCCTCCCGGAAGCCTTCCGCATGGCCACGCGCTTCTGCATTATTGCCCAAGTGCCAAGAACATAACCGATGTCGGGATCCAGGGAGAACCGACTTGATAGCTTTCCTCATTGAAGAACAACCATCTGTTATAACTGCGGTTGGCTTCTTACCACCCATGCAATGTAAAAAAGCATTTAGAATCCATACGTAGTTCTCCGCCGTTTCATCCGCAAGTAAAGCACATGCAAAAACAGTGCTTGCATTGTGATTATTCACACCAATGAATAGAAGAAATGGAAGATTATATGCATTAGTCTTGTACGTCGAGTCAAAAACAAGAACATCTCCAAAGAGACTATAATCCAATTGTGAAGTAGAGTCATCCCATAACATATTGCCTAGTTCACCACCGTCACTTACTGTATATATACAATAAAAACGAGGATCGGTAGTTGCCCGTGCTTGTAAGTAGGCAAGTGCAGCTTCACTGTCACTATCCAAGATCTCCGACCTCCGATCCGCACTAACAAAATTGTAGACATCGGTCTTAGTGAAACCCAAGTTCTGAAAGCTTCCCGCACAATTCACTAGATAATCCATGATTTGATTGGTGCGAATACCAGCAGCCCTAAGTGATCGAATCTGAGCCTTACTTGCGTCATCTACCTTGCGATGAGAACTCAAAAACTGCACTTCATGTGCTCCAGCTAAGGGATGAAAATGTGTTGGTACAAACTGCTTCACCTTGAATCGGTTAGTTGCCTCAACAAAACTGACTTTGAAAGCAGCCAGACAATGGAGCCTTGTTACAGGCCTAGGTTCACGCTTTCTGTTCTCCTTGTCATTGCGGACAATGGAGCTTGTAATGATTTCGGGAGGTACCTTTCGGGAAGCTCACTACTAAAAGCAAATTGAATCATCTTTACTGCCTCCAGAGTCAATGGTGTCTGAACAACAAAGGGAGGAGCACGGTACAAAGGTTGTGCTTTCTTAGCTCTGGGATTTGCCCGTTCGAATGGAGAGACCACATACAAACTAGGCTTCAATTTAGACACACTACGTAGTCCACCTCCCTTTCGCCCCTTTCTTGTTCAAAAACATAAAAACAAAACCAGTTCATTAGTAACCACACCATAAGAACCAATAATTAGAAAACTTAATCAAGTGAAATACCTTCACAGCCTTGGAACAACCATCATTAGCAGCAACACTTTCATCACTCAACAATATGAATTTCTCAACTTTAGACGCTTTAGGCTGCTTGCAAGGAGACTTTTTCACAACTTTCACAGAAGGAGATTCAGAACATCTGTCATCTCCAATTTCCCCCTCAGCTTCTCTCGAATTCTCAACTTTGGCAGTCTTGACACATTCCGAGGTAGGAGAAATGGGTTCCCTTGGGTTTTCAACCTCACCCTTCTGATCGTTCTTTTTCAACTCAGCTGTAGGAGAAATGGGTTCCCTAGGCTGCTCCCTTGACAACGGATCACCTACAGTTGCTTTCACTGCCTCTATAAGGGACTTCACTGCAGTAGCGATTTCGTCTCTAAAAGCCCGAAATTCGTTCTCCATTTTCACAACCCGGCTCATTAGCTCATTATCTCTAGAAGCAGCATCACCCATTGCCACTCTAAATTCTTGACCAAAGTTGTCAATTCTACCTCCATGGTACTAAACCGAGCATCAATACGCTCATAGAGAAGCAGCTCATCCCCGTCAGGTTTGTGCCGTTTCCCGTCTCTTTTTCCCTGTTTCCTTGGAGGTGATTTCAAACCGGCATCCTTAGCTGATCTTTTCCCCAAACTGCTGGAAACCTATAAATTAATTAAAAAGGGAACCAAATGTACCATTAGCATGCTCCAACTTGTCAAAAGAATCAAATATACTATCATCTTACCACTTTTGTTAACAATAACTCCACGTCTCCGCTCCCCCAACTCATCAAATCCAAACTCCCATCAATGGTTTGGAAAATACCATTTGCATGCTCCAAGAATATTAAGTATTAACTACAAAAAAAATACTATAATCAACATGATGATTAATCATTACAAATATGTAGAAAGTCGGGATTAGCAATTATTTACCTCCAAAAACAGCAAGCAACCCGGTATATACTCTCTCCTATAAACATTATGGTCGCAGATGCATTTGACCAATTCATTGAAGCAAAAGGATGCCCAATTCCTCTTCGGAATGTCTGCAACATCGGTGACAGCGTATACCGAAGACAAGGAAATGTCATCTCTTCTAGTTGGTACTAATAGCACCCCCATTACGTACAAAATAAACATTTGAAGAAATAGATCGTCGCTATCTTTCATCTTCGACAACGCCTTCTGCATTAAGCTTGTGGAAATCGCCTTTCGGCCACAATCACGTGTCGAAAACACTCTAAATGGTTCCAGTTCCTCTGATCTTCCCTCCACTTCTTCACCATTCAAGATGATATCAGTACCTCCCTCAGGCACGCCCATAATTCGCTCGAAATCTTTGGCCGAAATATGCACTTCCAACCCATACGCCTTAATTGTGCTTTCTTCCAGATTAAAGCTCTTCACAAGTTTCTCCAACAACTCACGTTGTAGCTTTCTTGCTTTGACTTCAAGAATACGACCAAAGCCACATCTCTTAATGGCCTCTGATTGACAAGCCTCTAAATTTGAGACTAGTGAGAATACTTTCCTAGGAGAACATCGCGTGCTGAAAATTTGATGCCTCTTCGTCTTCATTATAGAACAATTTTAGCAAACTGCAAAATTAAAACAACAGAAAAATTATAAGCATGCCTTGAAACACGAATTATAAGCATGCCGAAGAGTACAAACAAAATACAAGTTCTAACTACCAGAAGAACTAAAAACCCCCTACATCAACACCTGAGTACACTAATTAACCATGAAATCCGCCATTGGCATATATAAATTTCACCCAAAACACCCCGCTTTCATTACATTTCACCCAAAATGCAAATTCTCACGGTCGTGACATGACCCGTGACAAGCAAAGAGTAGTTTTCATATCTCCAGACAATCTCACGGCTTTGGCTTCATAAATCACGGCCGTTAAAATAAGCCGTGAAACTCCAAAACACCCAGATTTCAATAAACATTCTCACGGCTAATTCTGGAAATTTCACAGCCGTAACATCTTCTCATGAGATAAGCAAAACAGAAGAAAAGGTTTAATCATCTATTGACAGGCGATCTTACCAAGCAAAAGGACAAGGTTTGTCCCCGATCAAATCGTATAATCATCTATTTTCAACTACAGTGACCAACTTGTTTCTATAAAACCAGTACAAACAAATATAGTTGGGTATTTCTAAGAAGAAGAGCTGCATATGCTCAAATCTAAGTTTCAAAATAAAGACTGTGAAGCTTGTTGATGTATTCAGAACTACTATTTGTTTGCAATTATGGCTTTAGCTTATGGTTGTTCTCATTAGTCATTTTAGCTACCAGATTCATATCATATCTAAATCCAAGGCTAGTTCAAAAAACAGATTTCAGAGATTGTAATAAACAAACAAAAAGGTTTAACCTGGAAAATCAGATACCATGCCCCTGTTCTTTTCTTCTGTTTTGTTCTAAGGCTCCCTTCTACATCTAAACCCGCCCCTGTTCTTTTGGGAAAAAATCAGAAACCACACACAACTTACAACTTTTGAGAGCTAAATAACATGACCACGAGCATAGCCACTAAGCTTTCCATAACCCATGACACCACCATAAACACTCGCTCTATTTCCATCCAAACTGGCTAAAACTGAAGTCACCCTGATTTCATGAAATAGTTCTTGACTAACACACTCAATTGCACCTTTCATGCAGCCAAGCAAGACCCTTCAATTAACAGTCCAAAATGTAATCAACAAGCAACGTAACGACACTACAAACTGAAAAGAATCAAACTTTGAGTATGAACTTTCCTATTCGATTTGCCTCCATAAAACACAAATCAAGTCTCTCCAATCAAAAATTTAATACTGGCATGCATAAAGGAAGGAACACAATCGCTAGCTAGGTCAGATTGGAGCAACTTTTTTTGAGATCACGCATGGTTGAGATTGCATCACAATCTTGCACCAAGGTTCACTTGATGAATCACGGCATAACCTATCAATTGCATCACAATCTTGCTCTAATAGTAAACTGAAGTACTAATCACATAAACGTAGACGGATCCAGCATTCAAACGAAATAAAAAGCTCAAATGAATGCAAAGAATCACATAAGACTAATGCTTTAGTTCACATCAACACAAAAGCTCATGCAAAGAATCACAGAAGACAAATGCTTCGATTACCCTTTTCTAGAATACATCCACACAACAAGCATACTACAAGTAGTTGCTAGCTTAACCACAATGGGAACATGATTAGGACTCCTCTCCCAGGGCTCACAAAGACAAGATGAATCGCATGCTTGGAATGACGATTATGTAACTCAAAAAGGCAATAGCTCTCTCGACACGTGCAACTCACACCGGTTTTCCAAGTGAAATAGAGTTTCCATTTATGAAAAAGTAAAAAAAAAGTTTCCAAATGGAATTTATGATATCATTTTCATGAGATAGCATTTAGCTATGGTGGAAAACCACATAAAGAACACATGATCTTTGCTTGGTTCATACATGCTATTTCCTAGGCTCTTTCACCAAGTGTGAGTTTTCTTGGTGACAAGCATTTTCCTCTTTGGTACATGATTAGATTGTTCACTACCCAGCAAGGCAACCACAACCATGCACAACTCTCCCTTCAACCTTCAATGTGTAAATCGACTCACAGACGTAAAAGTAAGATTCGAGATTGTTCAGAAAGCAGTAATTTACGTATGTTACAAAAAAATGTCACGGAAGATCAGGGAAATTGATAGCCCTAAGACCACTGAGTCGTTTGCTGAGGTTAGTTCCCCTGATAAACTCGCAATAGTATCTGTCTAGGGATGTATAAAACTCATTCCCGGCCTTGAGGCCTGATATGAGAAACTTAAAGAAGCAAAATTGACTATGAATTAACTCTATAAACAGCAAAAACCCTGAAAATAACTCGAACTCTAGTGGGATGTGGGAGATAAAAATTGACTATTAAGTAAACTCTACAAACCCATTCCTTACATCCCTAAAACCCAATCAAGACCAAAGAACTAAAGAAGCAAGCAGAACAACCCCAACACAGTTATTCTCTTCAGTTTGAAAGCAAAGGCAACAATGAAATGAACAACCCCAGCACAGTTTATGGGATTATATAAACCAAGACAGCTTCCTAGTTGACACTGAATCCTCCATTCACAAATACCTCCTAGGTCACATCAACGATCTGTGTGAGGAATGAAGTTATATGGTGGATGGCCACAGCTATTTGCACAAAAAAGTGCAGACTTTCTGAAGCTTCATCAATCACGGAATGACTAAAGATGCCCCCATCTCAATCAAACTCGGCCGTGACAAAATACAGCACAACCAAGAACTAAACTTGAGAGAGCTTCAATACTCATTGCACAAGACGTTAAAGCTAAAGAGATAGACAAACCAAATCACAGAAGAAGACACTGGAAAAGATGGAGCACATCAGAATTCCCACTTCACAGAACTGATAAAACCGAGAGAGGGAAAGGAATATCGCATCTTATATCACCATATCCAATTGAGAATGCACATGAAGAAAGCAGTGGAGAAGCTTCAATTTCAATCCCAAATGGTTACACAGAATTGAGAAATTCTCTCTTCTACTTCCATAGTTCAATCTGGTAAAACGAGCATGGAATTTCAATCCCCCTACCGAAATTTGTAAATCTAGAACATCCCGATATAATCCCTAAACTGATAGCCATACTAACCGGAAAATTGAATAAAATTGTAGAACTGTAGGCATACTAACCGGAAAAAGTTGCAGTGGAGGAGGTAGGTCTTCGTTTGCTATCGATGGGAAGAGGGGGTTCTGTGCAGGGTCTTCGTTTGCTATCGATGGGAAGAGGGGGTTCTGTGCAGGGTCTTCGTTTGCTATCGATGGGAAGAGGGAGTTCTGTGCAGGGTCTTCATTTGCTATCGATGGGAAGAGGGTCTTCGTTTGCAATCGACGAAGAGATGCTCGCTCTCGTCGTCCCCTGCTCGCCGCCTTCACTGTCGTCGTCGGAATCCGGCTCGCCGCAGTCAAAGAGATGCTGCAATCGACAAGCTTCTTCTACTCGTCGTCACCCACTGCTCGCCGTCTTCACTGTCGTCGTCAGAATCTGGCTCGCGTGGAGAGGATCGAAGGAAGAGGATCTAAGGAAGAGTAAACGGCGGTGAGAAGAGGTGAGAATAAGGCGTGGTGAATTGAATTCGTAAAAAAATTTCAGACAACCGGTTGTACCGGTTCTCCACCCACAAATAAAATAACAAATTAATAATTTAAATAAAATCTATGGTTGATATAGTTTGAACATAATCTAATGGCTGTAAATGTTTTATAGCACCAATACTATAAAGCACACTAAAATGCCTCTATGTACAATCATATGAAAGTAAACCAATCCAAGACGACATTCACAACTTGAACATATCATATGCTATCATGTGAAAATCAAACAGACCACAATAGTAGCAGCCTTACACAGAAAAGAAGGGTGGCATCTTTGTAATAATAACTCGAAAGATTGCGAAGCATGCCAACAATTCGTGCATTATTCGTCCCGGCACCTATCAGCCCAAGGGAAATAATTGCAGCCTGCAAAAGACATGGAGACATTGCTACCTTTAGAAATTATACAAAACCGTCGAAGTAATACTCTGGTCTAGCAGAACACTAGCTTACTGATGCAACTTCTGAATCCGTGTCATGACTAAGTCTGCTTAGCGTATCCATCACATTGATCTGATAAAAATTTACCCAATAAGTTACAGAAACACTACGATAGATGACAAGCAGAGTGATCAATGCGTTTGTGGAAAACAAAGCCTAAGACCTTATGAAACAACTCACATTTGGATTCGATATGCATAGAAGGGCAAGAGCCAGAGGAACTGACCGCCGGATGTTCTGTTCCCCATATTGCAAAAGATGCTCCAAAGTTCGAATTGCCATGTCAAGTCCCAATTCCTCAGCCATAGACACCATTGCTATTCCAACCCTTCTCCAAATGCTGAGCACAATTCCAAAGGAGGTTTTGAACCTAGAGCAAGAAACAAGCCACCAATTAAAACCGGGGAGAAATGAAGAAACAATGTTCCCAGGTAGAGCAAAGCAAAAGCAAAACAAACGATCCAAAATAACACTTCTAGCTTCTTGAATGAAAACTGCAAATTTATTGAAATCAAAAGCATACCTTCAGAACATTCCCTGTCCTAGCGTAGGCACAAGAAAGTAGGGTCATATCACAGTACTTTCTGATCTTCTCGTTAAATGTCTTTGAGACCTCAGCTGTAGCTTCTACACTTTCCTGCAGGTGAGTAGACATCAGTAAGTGTACAACTGTACAAGGCTCTCTGCTGTCTTAAATAAATCCAAAATTAGCCACCTGTCGCAAATATAACACATGACCAAGTGAACTTTACACCAATACAGTGTCTTAAATTTCACGTACCTGCTTCCCAAGGTATAACAGACCAAGACCAAGTGGCAAATTTTTTGTAAGAGGACTCTTGATGGATGCTTACTTCACATTTTTGTTTGTTAAGATTCACCTTATGATGGATCTTATTGAACTGCTTCTACCCACATTTTTGTTTGTTAAAATTTACCCAAAGTGGCAAAATTTTTGTAAGAAGACCAAGTAGCAAATATAACACATGACCAAGACCAAAACCAAGACCAAGGACTCTTGAGCGGCCAAAACTGCCAATTTCAGTTTTCCGAAGGGTTTAGACTTTAGACAGCATACCCTCTCTCCGCGCCCCCAGCCCCCCACCCTCGACCAGAGCAAGAGAGCCGGGTACCCTGGCCGTCTTCCTCCCGTCCCGCAGTTTAGAGTGTTCGAGACTCTTCCTTCTGCGTCAGTCATTCTTTCCTCTTGCTTCTTCGGTTAGTATCTTTTGTCGCTGGAAGAAGGAGTTCTGAGGAATTGCCCTCCTCGCATAGTAAGTCCCAGTTTCATTCCTCGTGCTTGTCTTTCTGCAGAATCTTGTTTTTGTTCTGCGTATTTGAAAATTTGAATGCTATGCACACATAGAAAAATGAACTGGCCATGTTTTCTTGATGCGCTGCCCGCAACCTTCAGATGTTGCATAGGCGTGTTCGCATATGGATTTTCCCGTTATCTTCTCTTCTTAGCTTTTGTAAATTATAAGGGAAGGTCAATATAATTGTGACTGTTGAAACTCTATAGTGGAAGTTTTATTGTTGTCGAGCTGAAAGGCTTCGAGTCCAGCTTCCCTGTTATGGCCTCTCTGTTACATGGTGAAAAGTTGGAATTTTTTGTTTGTAGCACTCATTCAATGGTAAGCGAGTATCATTGAATGAGAAAGCTTAAGCCAAATTCTTAGACCGGTAGCTGTGGAGATTGAGAGAAGAGTGTGACCTTCGAGCAAGTTGGTCAAATTTAAGTCATGGAAAAGCCTTAAAGCCAAGTTCTTAGACTGGGAGCTGGTGGAGCTTAATGTTGTTATACCTCTTCAATTGTCTTACGTGAATGGAATTAAGGATTTTTCTGCACTGTAGATTCGTTGAGTTTTCACTTTGCTTAGGGTTTATCCGTATCATTGAGTCTGAGAGCCTTCCTTCTAGGAGTGCATCCTGTTCCTGAACTTGTTCTAAAAGGAATCCCCCATGTCATTCTTGGACACATGTTGACAAGACGATAGTGATCAATACACCTATTATGAGCAGGTTCTAAAGATTGTTTTTTCTTTGATATCAAGTTCCATGGCTCATGGAAATTTAAGACAAGGTTTGAGGAAATATTGGCTCTATTCTTTAGTCACGATGTTGTTGAGTAAGGTTGTAACTTAGTCTCTGTCATTGCTATTGTTGGTTAGGGGCAGATGCTTCTCCTTATCATAATTAATGCGAATTTATAAAATGATGAACATGTTTGTTATTATTAAAAATTGGAGGAAGACACACGTGCACGCGTATTGTGCATTACTCTCGCATCTCGCACCTCACTACAAGTATATCATGAAGCATACCACAAACCATATGCCAGAACTTGGTATGAACTAATCATATGATATTGATATGAACGACATAGGATTGATACGATCTTGATATAATGACATGAATTTGATATGAAATGATAAGATATGACATGAAAAAGTGTCTACTGTCTATCCGTGCCAGCCTGCCCAAAATTTGGACAACGACAACATATCCGGGAAACCTCCCCATCTCTATCCCTTCATACTAGTGACCATTAGATATCACCTTCTCAAAATACAACCATTATATTAGATCTAATTGTATAGTACTACAAAACAATTAATTTTTGTATGATAGTTCAAGTCTAAAATAGTTTTCACTAATTAACCATTAGATATAGTTTCACATGCGCGCCCTACCTATAGCAAAAGCTTTCCAGTTATATTATGCAGTATATGGAGTGGATATAGGGGTATTTCTACACTATTTTGTAGAAGTGCACAGTAAAACCATCAACGTCGATACAAGTATCGAACTATTGATATAGATAGATAAATATTAAGAAAACTAATTGCCCCAATAAACAAACATCAGAATATGACGGACAAGATAATGGAGATGTGTTGTAGATCGTGCGCGTTAGCTCCGTGTCTATATGGAGAACTGACGAACTTAGTGATGACCATCCCTAAGCTAGTGGAACACGCCTGAACAACGACAAGAACTCGCGACCAAAATTTTGTCGAGTTGCAGTAATTTTGAAAATAGAATAGAAGCTAGAGGTGCGGTAGAGTGAGTTGTTTCGAAATTTTACATTTTGATTGTAAGGTTGAGGAAAATCTGAACGTGGGAAAATATCTTTTTTAACACCTAAAACTTGATTTAGGGTGGTTTGGACATTGTTTTTTTTTAATGGCGAAATTTGCATTAAAAAGGAAGAAGAGTCCAGAAAAGCAGGGCTGGGGTTCACAAGCAATGAACCACCTCCCCCAGAATCTCCAACAGAACAATCCAGAAAAACAAAAGCAACAGGATGGTTTGGATATTATGGGGTCGTTTGGAAGTTGCGACAGTTTTGTTGAGATTGTCATTATGCATGTATTGTTTACAATGCATCGTTTTTTTTTGTTTTTTTAGCAGAAACAATACATGGATTGTTTCTGTGATGTGATAGAAACTATAAATCATTTTAAGTGATTGTTATATCTCAACTATTAGTTGTGATTGTTGAGATAGTTGAGTTGAGATTGTTTTGTCTCGGCTTTTAGCTGATGTGACATACACAATCACACATACCAAACGTTGTATTCTACAATGCATCAAATTCGACAATACATGTATAATATTATACATGCATTCTCAACAATACACCTATTTAAAAATCAGAACTTCCAAACGACCCCTATGATTGTTAAATAAATATATTGTTGTGAATACATGTATAATATTATACAGATATGTCATATTGATTACTTATAAAGAATTAAATGAAATGTTTGAACTTGAAGCTACGTTTGGATATTTGGTAACTAGCATCGGGCCCGGCCAGTTGGTCGGATGAGTTTGATTATTATGTTTTTGTATGTGTTGTTGCATTTATAATGCGTGTAAATAGCAAAGATACACAATATGTCTAAAAATATATTTATGACGATTTTGATATAGTCCATTATATCTATGAAAATATTTTCCAGTATATATCATCTTTGTTGATCATGACACGGTTTATAGATATGAAATTGTATGATTTGAAAGGGCATGTTGGCGATCGATAGTCACAAATGAATGACCTAAATTGCTAGTCCCAATTTTGATATTGAGCTTCATAGGTTTCAAATTCACTTAAAAAGCACAGAAGAGATTAGGAGCATAAATCAAGCACTCCAATAAATTGAAAGCTAAATATCACCAAGATCTTACTATCCCTCGGTAACTGAAAAAGATAGATTTGGAAATATCTTAATAGAAATAAGCTTAATAACATATTCACAAAATTGTTGCAATCCTTCCCACAACCGGTCAAGGTGTTAGACTCCTCCAACTACCAAAGATTCATCTCCAAATTTAATTGTTACATGCCTAGCCCTCAAAATTTCAATTTGAACTATGATAATTAACCTATAGAGCTAAAAGGAAAATACACATGTTCTTGAGATTAGTCTCACCTAAAAAGCCGAATGAATCTAGGAGATAGAAAGACGATTTTGACCGAATGACTAAAGAACGTGCATTCCTAGAGACTCTGGTAGAGATATTTTGTATCATGGTAGTCTTCTCTAGTCCCCTTACGAACTCTGGTTATTGGGTTTATGAAGAAGGTAGATATCACCGGGAGAATCAAATTCGATGGAATGAAAGGGGAAGAGTAAATGAATGGACTTATGGGTCAAGAGAATGGGGATGATGAAACTCGGTAATAGGGAAAGGGGTCCGTTTAGCAACCATTATGTTTTTTTTCTTCTTCTGGACATTGGAAAGCAAAACCTAAACAAAAGGAAACTACCATTTTCGCCGGGTAAACCCTATTTAATTGAGAATTTTTTAGACTTTACCTGAAAACTTAAATCCTAATTAGTAATGATTTCTATGGTATAAAAAAATTTGGTCTGATTACCATATTTTAAAATTTAATCGTTATTTGCAAAAAATATTTGTATCGGCAGCCTGACCAGTAAAATAGCCTATCGGAGTTCAAGCCAGTAAGGAGTTTTAGTAGTATGAAACTGTTGAAAAATGATTTAACACAAAATATCCTATCACGTACTTTTTTGGGTACAATCCGGTACTGTTTTACAATTGAATCAATTTAAGTGAACAAGAATTCTCAAATATGTGAAACTAACCTTTCGTGCAAGATTAAACATACTTTTTAATGAATAGATTACATAAAAATTAAAAATAATTACATATTAAGTCCTCAATTTTTTCGATACCATTAAAGAGTTTCAATAAATAAATAGAAATATATTTAATACTCATCTCTTTATCGACTTCTCCATCACAATCTTCAGTATTTCCAAAATAAATTAAAGTCTTGATTTGTCGTAAAAATATCCACAAACATGGATACCACCCTAATTTGACTTAGTCAGGTAGGATAAGACTTGACCCCAAAGAATTTTTGCTGAGTACGGATAAAATCTGAATCAGAATATGCAGGTAATGAGTGAACATGATTTTGTCACTAACCATCCAAACTCATTTCATGGTACACATGCATATGTATTTTATCAAAAAATTATTATTTGTCTTTACATATTTTATATTTATTTTCACATAATTAGATGATTAAGTGTATTATTATTACTTGCGGCTTATTTAGATACCTTTAATGTTTAAAGGAAGGAGATTCTATAGAAGAAAGAAAAAAAGAAACAGGTTTTTGAGTCTCTTGCGAAAAAAAGAAATGAACTTAAATGGGTAATGGGTTCCCAGTTCCCACATAAAAAATAGGGTAATGGCCAATGGGTCAACACTCAACACACAAGAGGAGGGGGTATAAAAGCTTTTTAATAAACCCTAATTCAATCTAGCAATACCAAACGGCCGCCTAAC